CTACGACCCCAAATTCGGAACGTATTTTTATATCAGTGGTTCACGAACAACGAATCCTTTGATCCACAATCCGGGAATGCTAATAAAAAACACACGCCTGGCTCAAATGGTAAATCAGAACTTGGGTTATACATTAAGTTATATATCAGAAAACATGTTAATTTTTATCTGTATTCTCATATCATTCCTGTTTACTCCAGCGTTTGTCGCTAGGAAAACATTTCTAGTCTTCACAACCGAGCATTTATGAGAATGCACTTAAAGAGACTATTGTCTCTATAGTCCTTTAGAATCATTCAAATGATCAAGTTATATTCATGCCTAGAAGGCGTATGGTCGAAGAATGACTTTTTTCTTCCAGATATCCCCTCAAAGTTAGTTTAACTATTGACAATTATGTACCCCTACTTCAGTAACTCATGACCATCAACAGAGAGGAAGTCTTTAGTTCTATTTAAGTACTCACTACTAAGATAAAGAACAGCTTTTCTTATCTGTATACAGATAGTTGTAAATTTCATCATTACTATACTTATCTTGATTCAGATTAGAAACTCAATTGTTTTTTTGTTTTTTTTATTGTTGTAAAGTTTAACATGACCTCAAAGCATTGGCTTTTTTTTACCTTAAAATATGAAAAGTCCATGTAGTTCGACATAGTATAATACATAGTATAAATAGTATAATTCGACATAATGCTTTTGCAATTACATTTTTGTTTCATTATTCGTTACGTATACGATAATTGTACTTTAGACACAACAGACATACTAGTTTCAACCTTATCCTGCTGATTCGACAATTATGCCCCCCAGTGGCACAGCGGTACGTATGCGGACTTACATCGCTAGAAACCGGGTTTCGATATTCATGGTGGGCAGAGCACAGATAGCCCATTGTGTAGCTTTGCGCTTAACTGCAAACAATCGACACTTACAGTTTCGTTATATTCAAATATACTAACCAATCAGTAACACGGAACTGAAGTTTTCATTCAGCATGCGAGTCATCTAACCATTCATTCACTCTCAACGTTCATCGCCCAATACCAGTCTCATGTTACACACAAGTGTGTTTCAGTTTACTCTGTTGAAGTAACTGACTGTAAACGTGTGCTGAAAAAAAGTATGTTTCGTCACGTAGTCATTAACTATTAACAAAGTGTCGTTTTTCAAGTACTCAAACACGTTCTTGTGAATGAAACATGTGTTCGAGTTGTTTGAACCCGTTTAAAGTTTGCCCTCTAGCGGACGAGTTTTCCAGCTTGAACTAAATATATGATTTGGCAGTTAGTGTGTGTGTTATAGTAAAGCCACATTGGGCTACCTGCCGTGTTCACCGCGGGGAATCGAACCCCGGATGTTAGCGTTGCAAATCCGTAGACTTACCGCTGTCCACATGGGGACATTAGCAGTTAGTACGTGTGTTTCAATTTCAGATTACAGTCATTATTATAAGATTTCTGTTTAAACACATCATAGAGCGAAGCAGTTACTCCCCCCCCAAAAAAAGAACAAAGAGTTACCGAATGATTAGTATTTAAAATGAAATATAGTTTATACACTTGCAGCAAAGGAACGTTCCTTATTAACTAAAAATAGTGATTGAAACAAAATGCGTGTCAAACACAGATAACAATGAGGATAAACTGTGGTCAGCTTAGCAGTAATGATTCGTTATAACTGCCTGACATTTAGTTTATTTCGAACATTTATCCTGCGAACAGAACACGAGGAAATAATGTACATTTAAGTAGTGTAAAAAAAACAAAACAAGCTATCATTTCACCATAACCCAATGAGTAAGACTCCTTTTACGATAGTATACTTGTATTATTTAGTATATTTTCAACAAGTATAATTCACGCTTGCGCTTCTGCACTGTACTGCAAATATACATCCAATGAGACCTGATTAAGTATCGTATAAATAGTTTTAACTTTTCCTTTGTTTTATGAAACGTGTAACTATTATACTATTATTATATCGTATATACGTATCGTTTGTTGCTAGGGGCAACGCTACAAGTTCTGCCCACCGCGGGTACCAAAACCCGATCTTTAGCATTATATGTTCTAAGACTTATCGATAAGGAACCATATATACATATACAATCATATATATATGTATGTATGTATCAAGTAATCTGTAAGCTCTTTGACAGACGACTGAACAGCCTCTCATCTGGTCCTGCATAAACGGTCGTGCATAATATACACCTTCAAACATTTTTTATACTTTATTTTGAAGTAATCGTAACTTGCCTAAAAATTTTAAAGTACGTGACAGAATTATTAATATAACCGTGTACGAAAATATCTTAGCATACGCCCAAGACAATTCGTCGCGTTTTATTCTTATTACTTTTTGTTGTTTATAATATATGCAGAGGGCTTGACTGCAAGGCCGGTCTCGCTTGGATGATTATTTTCATTGTGTATATTCATTGTTGAGCCCCTAGCAACTATCGTGACAACCGTTCAATTAAAGTATACGTGTCCTTGCATATCATATTATTCATCCATCAAACTAGCTTACTACCTGCGCATGCTGTTTTTACATAGTTTTATGTCGAGCTCTCTCTGGATTTGTTTATAGTTGACATGTAGATTTAATAAATAAAACTTCTCTACTTACTGAAGAAAGGAAAGTCATTTCAAATTTTGGGTCTTTTTGGTAGAATAACTCTTGAGTTCAACATAGCAATTTACTAAAGTTTTGCTTCTTTATGGAGATTACAAAACTGACAGTCTGTGTTACACAACCATAATTCCTCAGTAGGCTTATTCTTATTTCTTTTACCGGATTTAAATAAAAACATAAACAAATCAACCTAAGCCCATCTCGTAATCTTTTTAACAGTAAGCTTAAAAGGTGAAAATATTTAAACGCTGCATTATTAACTCAATCATTTAAGTTACAACAAGATTTTAACTGAGGAACTTTCTCACAGGTTTAAGTGACAAATATATTAACTTGTATAACAGAAGAGTAATAACATGAGAAAAACTTATAGAGTTTTCATCTAGTTGAATTACAAACATTATCCATGATAAACCCCTTCACCACGCCTGTTAGCCAAGTCTGCAAGATATAACTGCACAAATAGCAAACAAATATTTATAATTTAACACAGGCCCCCAGGTGGCAAAGCGGTATGTCTGCGGACTTACAACGCTAGAATTCGGGTTTCGATACCCGTGGTGGGCAGAGCACAGATAGCCCATCGTGTAGCTTTGTGCTTAACTACAAAACAAACAATTTAACACAGTATTTTAAATCCATCAAAAATAACAATATATATATTTATATACTTCCACTGTTTATGATTTTTACAAACAGAAAAAAAGAAATGTCTCCTAAGATCCTATACTGCAGCTGTAGTAGGAACAATAGTTTTAGTTTAATATCGAAGACAACGTTAATATTACTCTGTAGAGGAAAATGTCTGAATAGATGTTATTTACATTTTTGCAATGTTCGATTTTTATTATATAAACCTCAATATCTCTTCTAGTTGATTCAGGTTTTTTATAATATCAACACTCCGGTTTTATTTGTTTAAATGTTAATTGTGCTAAACATTTCAGTTGTATTTGCACTTCCGTGAACAAGTAAGCATATTTTACGTCTCGGCGTCCAGTGATTCTTATTTTTATCTGTTGCAGTGTATGTGTATTTTGTGTTTATGCGAATCCTTTTTATCACCGAAAACATTATTACAACTTCTTTTTATATTAAAAAAAATCAGCGTTCTACTTTAGTGATCTATTTGTTTTATAAAAGCCCTTTTTCCGACATGTTTGATACATCATTTACTCTATTACAGTAAAGCTATTGTAAGCACAGCCCTGCCCCAGTATTCATGAGTACTGACTGTTAAATAAATCATAGAAAGTCAGTAAACGTTCGTAGTTTATATATATATATATATATATATTTTTTTTTTCAGGTCTGATTCCCAATGACTAAAAGTATGAGGAATTTCAGGTTCCAACAAGTTATTAAAAATACCTGTTCCTTTTACTAGTAGTACAAACCTTGGCTTTCTATCTATGATTATGTTCATTTTTATTTTATATTGAACATATTTCATTTGTAGTTGTATAGTTATTTTCGAAAATTCAACTTTACTCAATTCTGTACAACTAGGTCTTCTCTTGAAATTTTCATGTAACACTAGTAATAGCTTGTTTTCGTTTAGAAACTAAATTAAAAGTATGTATCATATATGCATTCTTAGAATTCTTGCCACTAGATTAGAACATTACTATCCATGAGGATATACTAGATTTATTTATTTTATTTCTTTTGTCATTGGTTATTATTTGCCGTTATAAAGATATAGTGAGGCCTTGGTTGCAGTCATTTTGCTATGGTTATGATTTGTTGTTGTGAGAACATTATAAGTCCTAGGTTCCAGTCATTGTCAAGATAGTTATCATATGTCGTAGTGATGATATTAAATGCCCTTGGTTCTGGTCACTGTGCTGATGGTTATAATATATTATTATGAGGACATTACGAGCCCTTGGTTCCCGAATGTAGAGGAGTAAGAAAAGAAAAGCATCAAATGAATTACTAAAATGCTAAAAAAAGGAAAAAACATCAGTGTCCTCTTTCCCAAATTCTAAGTTGTAATCAACCACAATTCATGTGTATAGGTCATTAAGTGAAAGATGGCATTCTGTAATGTATGCCTTGAATATTGCACATAAGACCGACGGACATCACGTCATGATGTTTAGCCACTTCTCCAGCACTTAAAAATCAGCGTTAAATCGAACTCAAAATCTAGAGCGTTCAAAAATGTCATTTTCCCGTTTTACAGAATCTATTAAGTATTTTTTCTTTCTCATATTTGTAGTGCTTTTTAATAAGAAAACTCGATTAGAAAAATTAGTTTCAAATAAAATAATTCGTTACATTTTACATTTACACGTGATGTTTGTATGTAGGTAATTTCTTTGCAAGTTTTGTTAATAATAAACATCGACTTACCTTTGCATCAGTTTAATATTACCAAGTTAAAACTCTGATGCTTCCTTTTTACACTTGAATCTCTAGAATGAAACAGAGGTATGCGTTTAGAAGTCAGAACGATGTAAAATCACTTGCTACATTACTAAAAACGTGTCCCTATTTTTAACACAGACCCAAAGAACGAAGAAGTAATCGTAAACTTAGCATAGTGCCACCTATCGGTGAACGTCTTTAAATTGTAAATGTAATTTAACTTCCGGTTGAGAAAAAAAGAAATGTGTTGCTCGGAATAGAAAGATGGGAGTACTAAAAAAAAGATCAAGTGGAACTGAATATAATCTGCTAGTTAATTCAGGATTTTACATGGCAAAATCTTGCGTCATTAGAATATGAATTTTAGTATTTCGAGATGCACCGAGTGTACTTTGTAATTCTTTCTTCTGGGTATACATCAATCACATGAATAAAAAGTATTTGATAGTTCAATGACTATTATGTTTTATCTTCTATCACCATGAACTAGCTGTTTTGAATCATATAACAAGTGTTATCTGTTGGTTGACTTTAGTTTAACTAAAATACGAGTTTTAAAATGAGCAACTTAAATAAAAAGCGATATAACATTGAAAATTCACTTTACCTTATTATTTGTTTACAGTATTGCATTCACTATTCTTCAGTGTATTTTTGCTGTTTATAGCTTTGTAATGACTATTGATTTTATATTTTAAACAATCCTTTTTAAATCTTGGACGGTTGTTTAAATTTTGTTTCTAGAATGGTATAATTTTACTTAATCAGCATTGATATAAAACATTCTAAATTTTCCCGTATGTTTTGCAGTGTCAAGAATAGCACTTTTAAAGTCAATCCTGCATATTTCTCACATCATTCTAACCCTAGAATTTGCGATCGACGTTTTAACTATACTTTTCTGAACTAGGTATGAACTAGTTTTGTGTGACTATTGGTTACAAAGTTCATAATAACATACGAGTAATCAAAAATGCAAACAAGAAAGGTGCAATGGAACCCAATGATCACAGTTCTTGTCCCCACGTATTTTACAGAGAATGTGAGGGATTCACCCATCTTTTGATGGGTTTATTTTTATTTTGTGACATTGAATGTTATAACAAGCAAAAACATAAAATTATTTAGTAGGGTGCAATATGTGAACCCTACCAGGTGTGAACGATATACAATTAAAAACAAGTTTGTAATTTGAGGGTTGACATTTTACGAGGCTTTTATTTACTACAAACTAACACCAGTTGCAATAGATGTTAACTATAATGGAAATAAGGGGGGGGGGAATCAACATTAAACCACTAAGCAATTATTTCTGGCGAATGTAAGATCTTTTCGGAACTTGCGACATCGCCTCTTAAATTAAGAATTTTATTGTTTTTAAGAATAATAATATCAACTTTGATAAAGTTAGATTAAATACGGTAAGATAAGACTTTAAAAGATGACACTTTTTGAAGTATTTAGCACAAAGTTACACAGTAACCTATCTGCGATATGTCTACCACGAGAAGCCCTCCCCGGTGTCTTACCGGCAAATCTGTTGGTTTATAACTCTAAAAAACTGGGTTCGATACCCGCAGTGGGCCGAGCACACATATTTCATTGTGTAGCTGCTGGTTAAAAATAAAGGGTGATAAACGATGAATAATAAGCTACAAAAAACAACATTTTTCTGTACATTATATTAAATGTGAGTTTAAAGAACGAGTCAGTTTGAATATATGTTTTTAAAGCATATCTAGTATACAATAAAAAGGCTAAATTACTTCAATCTCACCTCTACCTACTTCGATGATAACGTTGGGCAACTAAAATCTTGCGTTTGCTCTGTCTTCACCGGCTGAGAGCAGTGTGAGCAGTGGATCACCGGAATATTGCGCTTTCTCTGGTATCGCCTGTTGAAAACAGTCGAGAACCACGTTCAGTCATTACGTTTAGATGCAGTCAGACTGTAAGGTGTCTCAGTATAGCTGCGGGGCTCGTGTAGCTACTGTTTGCGCACTTCCTTTCGAGTTTTTTATGTTCTCATTTTCTTTATTACTAGCATTATTAATAGTTTGCTCCTTGGCAGTCTTTCAACAATAGAATATAAACATGTCTTGAAAACAATATACCTACAAGCCGCGAGGTGAACGTGTGTTACAAAGTCACGGAGTGCCCTGGGTACAATGTCCCAATCCGTCGAGTTTTTAAGACAAAAATGTTATTGTTATTCATGAACAAAGGATAAAAAAGAACAAATAAATGCACACAGATGATGTTTGGGATACAAACAGGGTTCAGAAACCAGGCGATGTTGGAAGTTTGATTGCAATGTGAATTTTTAAGAGTACAATTTTACTCATACAATGACTCTTATCTATCTATCTGCACATGAGCACATGTTAACATTGCTCAGCTACATTTAAAGTCCAGCATGTGCGTCCATCCAACTAAAGAAATGTTTGTCAGAAGGAAACCATGATCAATTTGTTTTCTGCATAGGGCTGGTAAAATGCATGAAATACGTTATCTTTACACCTAAATATTCAGAATTCGCAAACAGCAATATGATCGTGAAATGTAGATTAGCATTTGCGTAATCATAAAAAAAAATATTTAACCACACCTAAAAAGCGCTTTCACGATATCATGTGAATAAAAATACGGCTTTATAGACGTCAAAATTTAAACACATATTAAAAACAGAAAACATACTTGCAGGAGTGGGAACACCACATGCAAGAACATTTCCGATGTCTTTTCGAGGAAAAATACTATATTGATAGCATGTTGTCGTGTTCAAACCCGAGCAATCTTTCACGTTATTATATATATATAGCGATTACATGAAATCACTGTTCAGAACGCGTTCAAACCCAGAAATCTTTACCATTATTAAATACAAAGCGATTATTTTAAGTTGATGTTCAAGACACGTCGAAAAACCCAGCAATCTTTATCATTATATACATAGGGATTACTTTAAATCTCTATTCAGGACATATAAGAACCCAACAACATTTACCATTATTATATCAATGGAGATTACTTTAAGTTGATGTTTAAGACACGTTGAAAACCCCAGAAATCTTTACCGTTACTATATAAACAAGTAAATACAAAACTTTCAGAAAAGGAAGTAAATGCAAGGATGGCTCATATCAGTCTTTTAAAAACAATGCAAAGAAGATATTCGAGATGGCATTTGCACCGTCCCTATATAATAGCACATGCCCACAGTGGAGTAGAATGTTAACAGACAAAATAGGATGAATTAAAATCAATTGCAATTTAATAGTTATATATATTGCTATATGTTAATTCTTCCTTGTGCTATTATGTAGGGATGACGCAAATCCCATCCTTACTATCTTGTTTGCATTGTTTTTGAGGGATTGATATTAGCCATCCCTGAATTTACTTTATTTTTATAATAAAGTTTCTTTATTATTTTCAATAGACATAGGAAGGTTGCATTTATAAACAAGTTCTAAATACAATGAAATTCCAAGTGTAATATTTATTGTTTGGTTGGTAATTCCTGTTTCACCTTGTATCTAAGTTTTGTAAAGGAAGACAAAATGTCTTTAAGAAAGCTAACTTCAAGGAGTAATGATAACATCGGTTACACTAGAGTTGATGTTATTTAATTACTACTAGTTAATAATACTTATAAAAACGGATACTCTGTTTGAAACTATATCATCTCAGTGAAACTGGTTGACACCATTGTTTTGATTTTGGAGTTATCATCTATAATAATAAATGGGCGTGTCTGTGGTTCTATGTGTGTGACCACCATAACTCCAAGAGGAAAGAACCTAGAAACCTGAAATTATACAAACATACTAAATGGACCCTGAGGGTGTGCACCTGGGTATCATTACTTATTCACGTGCATGCGCATCTTTTTATGAGGCAAACTAGTGGAAATATACATAGAAAAGAAGTGTGACTGCCATAGCTCCAAAAGGAATGAATTTAGAAACCTGAAAATTTTCACCCATGCTAAGTGGACCCTGAGGGTGTGCACCTGTGTATTACTTATCTTATCCTCGTGCGTTCGCATCTTTTTAATGAGACAAGCTAGCGAAAAACCACAGAGAAAAAAGTTGTTCCTTATATTATAAATAGAAATCAGAGACAGATAGATAGACACTTAAGTGCGTGCGCGCATGCGCATTTTTTTAATGAGGCAAGTTAGCGAAAACTCGCATATAAAATAAATGGTTCCTTATATAACAATTTCTAAGATATAAAAATTTGAGTGTGTTTTGGTAACAATGCGTTCCAACAGTGGCTTTTATGTCATATTGCTTAGCAAGAAAAGTATATAGGCTACACTGTTATGCTAAAATGAGTTCTGAATACACACACTGACAAACCTAATAACCCGAGCGAAGCCGGGTACTTTTGCTAGTGTAATAAAAAAGAAGCAGGGGAAAGAAGAACAGGAAATTAAAAGTTTTTGCTACAATATTTACATACATTCCCAGAACTTGTGACTCAGTCATTACATAAATATTGTTATAAAAGGAAACACTGTATAGTATAGTATTGTAAAGTTCTGATGATCTGTTGATGAGATATTTAAAATACCATTTCGATTAACATTCCCAGTCATCCCTACATAGGTAGTGCTACCGTCTGCCTGATAGCGATTACTTTAAATCACTGTTGAGGACATGTTCAAACCCAGCAATCTTTACCGTTCATATATACATGGGGATTACTTTAAATCGCTGTTTAAGACACGTTAAAAACCAAAAACCTTTACCGTTATTAAATACATAGCGATTACTCTAAATCGCTGTTCAAGACATGTTGAAACCAGCGATCATTACCGTTATTATATATATGGGGATTACTTGAAGTTGTTGTTTAAGACTGTTAGATATACATGACTGTTTCTGTTTAAGTGTAATGCGAAAATTATGATTTAGATAGTTATATAGCACGAGTGTTAAATTTAGTTATTTTTAGAAGCAATAATTTTTCGCAGGTTTGCTTACGTATCGGTTTAAGAATCATACGTTGTATAGTTCAACAGCTATGAAGTGGGGATTGTTGTATTATTGCGCCATGTTACTAGAACCTTCTAAGTTTTCTCATTGTTTTAATTGAGTATTATTGCATCATAATATCTTGTAGGGTGTGGAACATACTAGACTTCTGTCGGCGTATAAATACGCGAAGAAAATTTAGTTCAATATCAGAACTAGACTGCGTTACTGAAAGTTTAGCTATAAAAAGCATATAGCCCATAAAAAGCATATAGTGACTATTTTAAAGTGAAATTATCACAGATTGTATTGTAATAATAGAGAAGAGAAGAAATATTTGTCTTGTCAGTTATATTCTAAAGTAATTGAACCAGCCTGTGTGGATTTTGACGAAAAAGAGACAATTATATAAACCTCTGGATACAACAATTGTGGTAACCAACACTTATAGTTGTGATTTAAAGTGAAATTATCACAGACTGTGTGGTAACAACAGAGCAGAGAAGAATAATTCGCCTTGTCAAATTGTGTTTTAAAGCAATTTAACCAACCTGTGTGGACTTTGACCAAAAAAAAGATTCAATTATTTAAAGCTCTGGATACAACTGTGATAATCAACAGGGTAACGAACATTTGTATATACGTTTGAGTTGTTTTAATATATTATTTTAAAACAAGTGGACTGTGTGCTGTTTGTTTATTGTTGAAATATATCGCCAACAAGTCACAGACATCTACTGTAAAGAACCCGGCCTACAAAACCTGACAAAGACACGTTGAAAACCCCAGAAATCTATATCGTTATTATACACATGACGATTTACTGTTGAAACCCAGCAATCTTTACCATTGTTATATACACTAGCAGAATCGCGGCACTACGGGCGGCTGTTTGTGCTAGTAATAACTAAACGTAGTTATCCTACTTCATTGAAAATGTTTTTCGGAAAAGTGAACATTTTCTAAAAAGGATTTTTTTCTAGGAAGTATTGCACGGGAAAGGTGTTCGGATTGTACTATTTTGTCATACGCAACTCATTGCATCAAAATGGTTCATTTTAATGATATAAACTGTAATGTTTTATATATTAAAAGTGATACCGTATATTGAAAAAATATAGTTTTTTAAGAGCTCCAGTTTCCCAGTACTAGATTAAAAATTACATCAATAAAGATATAATCAAACCTTCATGCACAGTCCTAGTGAAAGTCGTGTTCTTGTTGTGAGGAGAGTTCTTTTATTTAAAACTGTGTTTTATTATAAAGAAACGGTTGTTGCACATACCCCAGTTATTTTTCTAATTGTCTCAATCTTGAATACCCAAAGTGTGAATTTTTTTATGGATTTTTGTTTGTGGTGTCATTCAGTAGATGGCGCAGGAGTTTGGGTTGCTTACATAGATATTGACATACACGCTACGTCCATTAAAATAAAATTGGGAATATATCAAGTTGCTTTTTAAATAGTTAAAAGAAAGAAAATACTTGAAAATAACATACTCCTAAGAAGACAAGTACTTGTAAGGTATAAAATTATTAATTAAGGAAAATATAGGCTTTCACAAAAGATAAAAGTACAAACTTTATTAGAACTTGTAAAAGTAAATTAATTAATTAAAATAAATATACATTTCTTTACCTGATCTCATTTAATTCACAGT